AGCCCTCGTGACGCTAATGAGTTCCGCGCTAATGAGGTATCCGTCTTCCTGACTTCTCAAGTGCTGTGATCTCGTCTACACTAATGAGGCCTCCGTCTTCCTGACGGACCAACCTTCTCAACCGTTGTGATCTCGTCCGCGCTAATGAGGTCTCAACCTGAGGTCGCGAGCGAACGCAAGGATTTTTTAAGCCCAGAGAGCTCAGTGCTCAAATGTTCGACGCGCTGGTCTTTTTATTTGAATTCCGACGACCGAGCTGAATGATTGTTACGAACGTTATTCTTTAGCGCGACTTGATGGTTAAACCGAGTGTAGGGTGATCACGAGTATAGGGTTATCACGAGTGTATGGTGATCACGAGTGTAGGGTGATCACGAGTGTAGGGTGATCACGAGTGTAGGGTGATCACGAGTGTAGGGTGATCACGAGTGTAGGGTGATCACGAGTGTAGGGTGATCATATGATAGATGGGCATCACTAAGGGGGGTTGATTTTAATATGATAATCACTAAGTCGCTCTCTAAGTTTTAGTTTCTTTTTCATCCAAATAATTCGTCAGAATAACTATCTGCTCGAGCGATGCTGATGGTTCTGAAGAGCCCACCTTCGGTTTTTTGGGGAGCCGTGAGTGCGCTCGCTTGTTGTGTATATCATAAGAGCAATTACTGCTTTACCGGATGCCTGCTTTTCCGGACGCATGCATGTATTCCAATGAAATAGGATCGCAATTTATTGTGGCAATAATAACTATTGGAATATCAAAGGTATTTTGACCGCATTCTGTTGTACTCTGGCCAGTAATCTCATGTGTTTTATTCAAAATAACCACATTTGCAAGCTTTTCATGATTACTTTTTACTACTATTCATTTCAATGTACGTGCTCAGGACGAATCTACGTTCGCTTCACTCAGCAAACCTGTTTGCATGCGGCCTCCACACACGTGAACATGCCTGCTTTCTCCTGCTTCTCAGTCCCACTAACATCGCTGCTACAAACTTGCGTAACACCTGGCATGTGTTAAGCCTGCTGCGTAACGCTTAACATTAAATCAAGCTTCCTTCCTTCTTGAACGAAAGTAAAATTTTGGCCTCGTTCTTCTGCCTTAACTTTCTTGCGTGGCGAGCCATCGCTGCATGAGAGAGTCGGTCGAGCCTCTGCACGCACGCCGCATTAATTCGGAATCAATTGAGCATTTTTTCGGGTGATGAAGTAACAAACATGATTGGCGTGAAATTTTTATCGGTATGAGATATCATTGTGAGAGTTGTGGGGACCTGGAATGTTGGATTCAGTTGCTGGATAATATAATTAATTAAATTGTAGACTAACTTGGAGTGGAAAGTATCACTTGACTTGCACACCGCCTATTGATTACGATCCCTCAGTCGTGTAATTGAATTCTTTTTGCTAAATATGTCCACCTGAAGTGTCTGCACCAAACAGGTGATGGAAAGACTGATTATTTAAGTTGCTATGCTGGGAGCGCAATACGCTCAGTGACGTGCCAAGGCGACTCAAATTGAACAGAAGACTTGTTAATTACTATTTTACTGCTAGTACTTGGATACCTATAATACTTAATACTGCAATTACTCCTACTTTATATTATTTTCAGATCGTACGAGTGCGCATATATTATTATATATTAGAAATGTTCAAATATTCCTTAAATAAATACTTCTGAAACATCTGCTCGTAACGAACAACTAAATTTTTAGTTTCCGTTGAAATGTTCACCTCGCAAACTATGCCGAAACACAAAAACTTGTTGCGGGCAACATCTTCAGGATGCTGTAATCTTGGCAAATATTTAGCTTGTTCATTACTGACGTTGTTGATACACTGAGACGAATGACGGTTCTGGACACCTGGCCATGGTTGTCATGAAGTGTATAGGTACCTGTGGAGCACACGATTCATGAAGTCTAATTTGAGCTCGCTGATGTGTCGGTAGCTAAGCATTTAATAATTGGATGATAGGACTGCTCCTTTCTTCCTTTGCTTTCACTTTCTAGGCCACTTTCGCTGCAGCAATTTCTTGCACGAGCAGCAATTTCTGCTTTTTGCACAATACCAAAAAGCTGCACAATATTTCGCAAAATATCGGCGTTAACGTCAAACCATGTTACAGGTTTTAATTAGGGACTTTGTTCTTCGTTCTATACCAGACGTTCCTATACTGTAGATCCTACAGTTCTATACTAGACGTTCTTAAAAATGCTAAAGTTCTATACTAGACGTTTTTACAGATCCTACAGTTCTATACTAGACGTTCCTAAAGATAATACTTAATACAGTTCTATATACTCGACGTTCCTTAAGATCCTACAGTTCCACACCAGACGTTCCTTAAGATCCTACAGTTCTATACTAGACGTTCCTAATGATCCTACAGTTACATACTAGACGTTCCTAATGATCCTACAGTTACATACTAGATGTTCCTAATGATCCTACAGTTACATACTAGACGTTCCAAAAGATCCTACAGTTACATACTAGACGTTCCTAAAGATCCTACAGTTACATACTAGACGTTCCTAAAGATCCTACAGTTCCATACTAGACGTTCCTTAAGATCCTACAGTTCTATACTAGACCTGTCTCTTATACACATCTAGATGTGTATAAGAGACAGATATAATGGTTCTATAACAGTTATATCCGGGGCAACCTAGGTGAACATGCTTTATTGAGAGTTGGTTGCATTGGTTGCTAGAAAAAAAGNTTCTTTATGAGGTGAAAGCAGCGGGCGAAGCGCATTGCAATTCGTGCACCAATACACTGTATAATTCCTGTCTCTTATACACATCTAGATGTGTATAAGAGACAGGATAGTAGTAGTGCCTGCTTACCGCTACCAGAAGTAGTAGTGCCTGCTTACCGCTACCAGAAGTAGTAGTGCCCGCTTACCGCTACCAGATAGTAGTAGTGCCTGCTTACCGCTACCAGATAGTAGTAGTGCCTGCTTACCGCTACCAGAAGTAGTAGTGCCTGCTCACCGCTACCAGAAGTAGTAGTGCCCGCTTACCGCTACCAGAAGTAGTGGTGCCCGCTTACCGCTACCAGAAGTGGTAGCGCCCTCTTACCACTACCAGAAGTAGTGGTGCCCGCTTACCACTACCAGAAGTAGTGGTGCCCGCTTACCGCTACCAGAAGTAGTGGTGCTCGCTTACCACTACCAGAAGTAGTGGTGCCCTCTTACCGCTACCAGATAGTAATGGTGCTCGCTTGGCGCTTCCTTTGTTATACAAGCTTTCTGTAGCGTTTTATATATACATAATTGATTAATATGGATGGAATATTTGGAAGTAATAAAAGGCTAGTTTGCCTTCTGATGAAATTGAAAAATGCTACGCCTTACCCACGTAATCAAATTAGGGAAACTAATCAACTTAACATTACCTTCATGCACTCAATGTACCGCTTCATTGCGCACTGTGCTGCCACTGCACGCACAGTCTCGGTGCATTTTGTAAAGCTTTCCTTCACGTACACGCGCTCTGAATCAGGTTGCTAAATGTCCAATAAAAAAGGCCAATGTGGAACCAACGGCTGTTTACGTTGCTAAATATCCCACAAATAGTTTTCATGTGCTCGAATCGCTGGGATTTAAAGCTCATTTTCTATTTCATTGAGCTAATGATTGATTAGCTCTCGGCCGATGATGCCGGAGAAGTTGCTATGTTTGGTGCTGCAATCATGCCTATACGGTGCTGCCTAGGTTAGCTTTGGGGCCACAAACGCCGTTGTGTAGAGTCTGGAATCTTTCCATATCGCTCTCATTTATAAAGATAAAATGTTAATCTTCGTGACGCATGAAATATATTACTTATGTGCTTCCGTGATGTACCTAGAAAGAACATCAAGAAAGTTTCTTCGATTTTCTACTCTTGAGTCAAATTAGTATGTATACTTTTGCCAGTTGGAAAATTGATGAAAATTTTCTCATTTTCGATGATCAAACGATAATTGTGGTATACTTCTGCTGTCAACTCTTGAATGCCTTCGCCTTCAGTTCTCGTGAACACTACAGTGTACTACTGTATGCCGAGAAAATGATCTGTAATTTCTTATAAAAAATTGAACTATTACCATTTAAGAAGTATATCAAGTACTTGACGTGTCATATCAAAAATATTTCTCCACCGTACAAAGTTAACAAGAAGAGTTGTAAAATCTCATCCTCGTCACAAGGGAAAAATGAGTGGTAAGGCCGTGTGTTTCTCGCAGCACCGGAACTTCCTTCAGATTTCCCCCTTTAAATTTTTTTGCTCTTCATTAAACCTGGAATTAACTTGCAGTCTCTTTCCTCTGTAGGGAAAAACACAAATTTTTCGCTTGTAATAAATTCCTTGTTGATGCGTTGAAGTGACTGGTACTCGCGCTGTCAGTGAGTGCTGTTGTTTTGAAGAGTTGAATGATCTATTTTGTGTTGATGCGAATTTCATCCAGTCCAATTATAGTTTTACGAGACGCTCCTCATTGTTGGCCGGCCAGCCGCTTTCTCCTGTATTGGCTACGTTTTTAGCTGCAGCGATGCTTGCTTTTTTGCGAGGCGAGAAAGTGAAGAAGTTGTGTCATAGTGGCCGAAGGCGGCTCAGCTCCCTCGCTTGTAAGCATTCCATAAACGTACTCAAAGTTTCTAGCAGACAATATGAACATATACCTCGCAAATTGAATATCTAAGGGAAAATATTACCGAACAATGAGTTCGCTCAGGACTTGTCACTGCCTTCCTTATTTCTGCTGAGGCTTTGCGTTTGTCATAAAAAGCTCTTAAATTTCCTAAGCGGAAATGATACTAGCAAATTTTGTTACAACCCATAGTGGACGATTCTTTTAAATCGTGTACCATTTCATACTTTCGACTGGTTAACTACCAAAGAAAACCACAACAATTGATGCGTGATAATTTATTTGGTCTCTCAGTCTACACGCCGTAAAAATATTTGTGTATCAATTCAATAGAAAGGCTTAAAGGAGAATCCTATCCATTGTGGATGAGTCAAGCGAGTTGTCCGAGGATCGATTCTAGGTCGGTGTCCGAGGGTGGGTTGTCGGTATCAAATTAACCGCTGGCTTGTGTCTTCCAGTCCTGGATGGCCGAGTTGACCTGAACCTTGATGTTAGTGTTCAGCGTATTTTTCATGACCTGCAGGAGCGAATTGCGGATTCCAGCGACATCGATGTTGCCGGAGCCGTCAGTGGGCAGACCAGAGGAAGCCTCGAGACCGTCGCGTCCGCTGCGAACCGTCCAGCTCTTGATGCTCTGGGGAACCTTGTTTGCGTCCAGGTTGAATTCGAAGTCAACAAAGAGTTTGTCAGCCTTCTCGGTGACGCTGCCCGTGCTGGTTGATGCGGGTGCCGCACTTCCGCTGCCAGGGAAGACAAGCTTGTAGTCGGCCTTGGCGCGGGCATTAGTCAGCCTCAGGCTTCCCTTCAACACGGTCTGGAAAGTAAAAAATGTCGTTGATTATTTTCATTGATCGTGGCAATGTATATTTATTCTTCAGAAGATAAAATCTGCCTTCTACCTTAGAGCTCTGTGTTTAGATGATGTATTTAAGACACAATGTGAACAAAAAATGACAAGCATTAGTAATGCCAGTAGTACAGCAAAAATTCCAGAAGTAATAATTACCACTTTACGTTGGCAATATTAACGATTTATTTGGACTTTTCAAGTAAAGGGTGAGCTCAATCATTGCACAAGAGTAATATCGGGATATTGGAAGCCGTGAGCACTTACATTGCTGTTCAGGAACTGTCCAGACTTGGAGCGGTGCAGGCTTCCGAGTCCCGTCATGTCAGCGTTGGTGATGTTGAAAGTCTTCTTGGCCGTTGAGGAGCCAGATTGGCTGTCGCTAACTTGCAGGTTGAATTGAGTGCCACCGTTTTGGATGTTCTTCATAACGTCCCATCCCAGCGCCCTGAAAGAGCAAACTCATAATAATGCAAGAGTAGTTGTCGTGTTAACCCTTGGTCTGTTGAAGGTAATTCCATTTACCAGCCCTCAGCTACGAATAATATCAGAAACGGAGATTGTATCCATGAACAATAGAATATCCGGGTCAAATATTCGGGTGTAGCTCGTTCGTTGTTTCATTGAAGTCGGTACCTTGTCTAGCGATTGAATTATTTATTGCATTGGAAATGCAAACATCATATTAACGGATCAAATTCATCTATAATTAACCACCAATGCGGATCTCAGTCTAGGTTTCTCTCGCTATTATATTAATTTATTGTCGCCATTGGCTGCCCAGTTGCAAGCCTGCAGGCGACATATTTGCCAGTGCCTTCAAGATCTTTGTGTGTATGTTGTGGTGCAGCAATAGCAATCTTCCTATCTCGGATGCTCAATGTTCATGTTCAGAGATTGATAAAAACTTGACTGCGATCGACTTCATGGAAAAGCTCCCTAAATGAACATGATGTGAATTAGAATTGGACGTGTTCAGTGACTAAATTTCTAAGTTGTGATGCGACCACTTTGTCTGATATTCCTGCTACCTGGAATGAAACATTTCATAAATTAGAGCCACAAAGACCTCGACGTCGAGTCTAGTTGGATGCAATAGCTTCCACTAAAAGGTTCTACTTTGTTCGATTATGTGTTGCTTCATTTTGCTATTGTAACATCATAGCGCTTGCTTATCGCCTTACTTTCTTCAGTTATGTGTTGCTTAATCTTGTAATGATTACATTGGGTTTTGTTTATTACGTAATCTAATAAATTTGTTATCTCTCACTTTATTTTGGCGTTGGCCCTCTCGATGACAGCGTCGATAATCTGGTTGGGGGTCTGGGGGTTAGTGTTAGTATATTGTGAGGTTAGTATATTGTGTGTTGCTTAATCTTCTAATGATTAAATTGGGTTTTTTAATTAAGTTATCTAATGAATTTGTTATCTCTCACTTTATTTTGGCGTTGGCCCTCTCGATGACAGCGTCGATAATCTGGTTGGGGGTCTTGGGATTGGCCACGGCCGCCAGGCTGACCGCCAACAAGCACGCTGCCAACGTTAAACGGAACATCTGCACACACAACATCAATTACGCGCATCAAAATACGCTTTGGATAAAATTTAATTAAGAGGCGCTTTGGATCTCTTTATTTGTTTTATGAAAATTTCAAGAGAAAGGACGGTAATATCGATTATGATTTTATTCACAATTTATAAATATAATTTTGATCGAATGTGAAAATAGGTTGTTACATATCGAAAGGTTGTTATATATTTAGGGGAATCTCTACATAAATCGTATCAATATCCATAGAGAAATTTCCTTCCTTGGATGTGACGTGAAAGAAACTCTTGCAGATTTGCCTGCAAAGCTGGTAGATCGCCATCTTAACTCTAGCCGCTAATTAATCAATAATGTTTTTGACTTCAGTTTACAGCACACGAGATTTTAGATCAAAATGATGTGGAGGTTGAGGCAAGACGCTCCTTATCACTTTCCTCATAATAGTGAATGAAATAATTTAATGTTAATAGTTAATGAGTTTAAGTGACTTACTTCGTCAGTAGTTGAAGTGCAGGCACAAACTGATGGATGTACTCGGCAGCCTGGGGCTTATAAAGCAATCCAAGTCGATGGGAAACACCTGTCAGGACAAGCGACCATTGAGCCTCGCGCGTTGCCATGGAGTGGTTCCAGGTGCTGACTCGGCGATGTCATTATTGATGAGTAAATGCGCCCGAATAAACGTCATTATTGATGAGTAAATGCGCCCGAATAACTGCTGAGTAAACGTGCCAGATTAAATGGGTCATAAGAAGTGATGATTGACAGGATGGATTGGCTGAAAGGATGTGAGTGTTGAGCCAGCGACCGGTTGTTCAAATGTTCGTGAGCGGCATTTTTCTTTTGATGTCATGCAGAGCATTGTACAGTGTCCGTAGGTAGCTCTAGGGCTGGTGGAGTTCTAGGAGGTAAAAAAATGAATCGGTACAGATAGGCAACGTATTCCAACAAGAAATTAAGCTGTACATTTTGATTAGAAACATTTCTTTTCTTGTATTTTACTGTGTACTTGACTACATTTACTCTACTTATAACACCACTGAAGCAAAACAGTTATTTTTTTCCAACGAAACAGCAAAACTAAGTTAGTGAAAGAACATTTCTGACAATAAATCTATTTCAAGAAGAAAACCAAGAAGTTAAGAAAAATCGTGCAATATGGATGAACAGATTTTTCAGTTCAACTTGCGGTCTATTTACTGACCTCCCAGCAAGTTCTTTTCCAAATGCAATGAATTTATCCTGTAATATAACTGAGTACTGTGAAAAGTACGTTTAATTGAGAAGGCAGTTACGCCATCAGGACTAATCAATTTTATATACTTCGGTCATTGTGTAAAATATACACGCAAATCTTTAACGGTTCCAATGTATTTCAGTTGGGAATTTAGGAAAGTTGTTTAGATTGAATATTTATAAATGGCCGAATCTAATCATGCATGTAGCATGTTTAAAGATGGCCGAATCTGATCTTGCACGTAGTTGCTTTGTGTTCTAGATATCCATGAACACAAACATGCTGGTCATGTCAGAATAATTTCAGAAATTTAAAATTTACAACGCATATTTATTATGTTGGGTTTACCATGTCCATGGTAAGTGTCTCGGTATATTCATGAAAAGCATCTTTGAGACGAGCTCCCGTAGTGGCAGTGTGAACGCAGCAGCCACCGAGCGCTGCAGCCTGCGCACCAGCGTCGCTGTTCACACCTTCGCTTTCTTTATGAGGTGAAAGCAGCGGGCGAAGCGCATTGCAATTCCTGCATAAATACGCTGCATAATTCATCTGGGATGTGCGCTTTATAATTGCTGCACCAATACACTGTATTGCCGCGACACTACATTTGCACGTGACACTCCATTTGCACGTGACACTCCATTTGCCATGACACTCCATTTGCGATGACACTCCAGTTGCCATGACACTCTATTTGCCATGACACTCCATTTGCCATGACACTCCATTTGCCATGACACTCCATTTGCGATGACACTCCANATGACACTCCATTTGCCATGACACTCCATTTGCCATGACACTCCATTTGCCATGACACTCCATTTGCCATGACACTCCATTTGCCATGACACTCCATTTGCCATGACACTCCATTTGCCATGACACTCCATTTGCCATGACACTCCATTTGCCATGACACTCCATTTGCCATGACACTCCATTTGCCATGACACTCCATTTGCCATGACACTCCATTTGCCATGACACTCCATTTGCCATGACACTCCATTTGCCCATGTCACTTCTCTGTACATGACACTCCACGATCACCCCGCTTGCGTGGCGCCTGAAGCGTCAAGCACGCGACCAAATGAAGCTCTCTTAGGTATCGTGATGAGGAAGAGATGTGGTAATTGTCAGCTATTTGGAAATTCCACCGTCACGAGAAAGTGTGAGTAAATGAGATTACGTTGAGGTGTACGAAGTTCCTTGAAATGTTCCGAGATAACGGGAACATCTTGAGACGCTGGTCGACTTCAATAATGGCTTTTAAAAAATTTTATTTGCGTTTAGCATATGCGCTAAGCTAAGCTGAATTTGCACATGAAATCTTATATAGTCAAGTATAGATGAGATATCAACTATTGTATAGTTGATATCTTATATAGTCAAGCACGCGACCAGGTGAAGCTCTCTTAGATATCGTGAATGAGGATGTGATGTGGTAATTGTTAGCTAATACAATATTAATCGTCGACAATATTAATTTTAGTTTGTTGGTTTTAACTGTGGTGCTAACTGGCTCAACGCTTCATTATTTCGCTCGTCGTTTAGCGTGAAGAATGTCTTACGCTGTTCAAAAATGTCGGATTAATGATTTGTAAGTCGGACTACAGACAGATTAGGCCCTTCTAATTAAATTTACAACATATATTTATTTTGTTATAAAATTTGCATTCAGGGTTTCTTTTCATTATGTAGGTACATCAGCTGGGTATTTCATCACATAATGGAGCAGCTGGGTATTTCATCACATAATGGAGCAGCTAGGTATTTCATCACATAATTGAGCAGCTGGGTATTTCATCACATAATTGAGCGGCTGGGTATTTCATCACATAATGGAGCAGCTGGTTATTTCATCACATAATTGAGCGGCTGGGTATTTCATCACATAATTGAGCGGCTGGGTATTTCATCACATAATTGAGCAGCTGGGTATTTCATCACATAATTGAGCGGCTGGGTATTTCATCACGTACTTCTCATGCCCAGAAGTTGGGTATGAGCTTCATGCATGGCATGACGCTCACTGTCGCTGTGCGCCGCACGTTTCGTACAGGGGACATACTTTCAAAACGCGCTAAGTGAACGTAAGTACTTACGCTCTAATTTCTTGTCTATGATTGGTGGATTTTGCTTGAAAGGCCGTCAATGATTGGCTGATGAACTTACGATCTCTTAACTTTTTTTGAAAGTATTGGCCCAGGTGCGTGCGGTGCTCACGTCCTGCGAACTCTCTTTCGTTCAGCGGTTGCGGACGCGCATGCTTGTTTTGACCACAAGCTTCGTGATATGAAAAATATTGCGCTGCAATCACGTTCACTTTCTCTGGTGTCACTTCCGTCGACTTTGTATTGTAGAAGTTCTTTAGGAACTTCTTTTCTTGCTGGTATTACAAAGACGAGCTCAGTGTTTTGTAGACTATAAAATTGGAGTTTTAAATTCATCAGCTAGGTCCAATTTAGATTTAATATCTGATTATAATTTTACGTGTCTTTTTTGTGTGGATTAATAATTCTCTTCTTCTCCACAGATTATATTCTTAAATTAGCTCCCGATCAATCTAGCAGTTCTGAAATGCTGCGCTGAGGCCTTCTATCTTATGAACTCTAGTTTTATTTTATCTGTGATTTGAATGGTGTTGTGGTGTTATTAACTCTGTGCGTTTTCGTTATCGTCATTTGTGAACTCTTGTGCTGAATTTTTTTGTGATTATGAATAGTTTTTAAAGAAAATGATACTTCTGCTCAGGTTGAACAAACTTGAACACAATGCACTGTCAAATATTTATTTTGATTTCGATTTTGGAGAAGAAAACGTGTCATGAAGAACCGCACAAAGAAGCTTGAATTCTATTTTTTATAAAAAGATTCTTTTCAATTTGTATCGGACCAAAGGATCTTTGATGTTAAACCTTCAAAATAGAATTATTTTGCATAAGTTATTCCTTCAACTACTGCAAAAAAAGGTTACAAAAACTTCGAAACAAACTCCAACTCGCACATCTATTCATTGGTCCTCATCGAACATCCCTTCGTTTCATCAGTTGATGCAAATGGAAACAAGCAACGGCCGTTCATATGTACCCTTACCAATTTAACACTAATTACTCGAACAGCTGCCATCCTTATCCGTCATTATCATCTTTCGTCTGCAGCGTTGGCGCTCGCAGTTCAAGCTAGTCAGCTAAGCACAATCATCTGACAAGTTTATTGCCCACCAATGAAGATCTTCAACACGAGGACGTCGCTTCATCTAAGATTTGCAAGCAGTTTGGCCGCCAGCTAGTTGTCACAATGACTGATAACGATTATTTCTTACCCTTTCAAGGAGTCGGATCTTTATGTTTTTTAGAAACTCCGTCTTCATCAAACATGCTTGAACCAGTACCTCAGAGCTGCGAGTTACAAGCTAGGCTATCAAGATTTAGGTCTTCTTGCAGACGGAATATCTTCTGCAAGACTTTCAAGTCGGCGAAATCAAGGTTTTATTGTGATAATTTTTCTCTTTTATTCTTATTAATAGTTATGGTAATGAATACGATAAGTGAGCCGGTGCAGGCAGTGAGACGGCCTGCTCGTGTGAACTCGCGTAAACTGCGAGTCGATGGCATCACCAACAACGACTACAGCAGAGAACGGCAGCGAAAGCATATCGTCGAAAACTCTAGCATGAAATTTAGCGAGAATGGCGATGATGTCGAGAATGTTCGTTTCTCCAACGAAAATCACGAATTAAACCTTCTCTTCGAACACTATCTTAAGGAGCTGCAGCCAAGTCAAAGTGAATCTTATAACAAAGACTTTACCAACAAAACAGGTCTAATTACCAGCGTAGACGTCGGTATTTTACCTGAAACACTTTCTGAAATGAACCAAACTTCTGCTTGGAAGATTCCATCATCCGTGCCTGATGTGAATAAACTTCCTTCCAATTCACTGTGGGATTCAAGTCTACCTTTTCCTTCGAAGGAGTCTGATGAACATGAGTCTCCACAAAAGGTGATCTCAGTGGCTCCCATTCTCCCACCTAAAGATCAACTTTACCACGACGTGTCTCAAAATTTCCCCTCTACGGTTGTTCTTGACTTGACTGCTTTATCGGAGTTTTTCCCCTTGTATCGGGAGTTGGCTAGCGCCATGCTCGATGGCCAGTCACTCGACCGAGCCTACCGCGCGATCCAAACCTCGTCTGCAAACAACGTCTTCGACGTGGCCGACGTCCTCCTTCCTGGTGAGTTGAAGAATTCAGTTTTCATTAATTGATTCAAACTTTTATTTTAACCTATTTCAGCTCGGGAGGGAGAACTGTTCATCATTCAATTATTCTCGTAACGCACCGTACCGTCTGGGTCTTAAAGGGTCTGATCTCGTGCACGCTTTCGGGTGCGAAGGTAACTCGAAGCCTGGGGAAAGTTTGGCCACCCTATAAAGTTAATTAAGTCGAATCCCTAAGCTCATAAATATTCAATAGTTTGTTAAAAAAGTAAATAATATTCATTGAAACGATAGTAACCAATTTTGTTCGTTTTCTTTTTTATTCCTAAATGCTCGAGTTTTTCCACGCAATTACTTACTTTTATTTACCTAAAAAGGTGAATTCGCCCACATAATATGATAACAAAGGAAAACAAAATTATGTTAATTTTATGATTGTCAGGGTTCATAAACGCGGTTATATTTTTTCAAGAAAGAAAAAAAGAAATTCTACATGCGCGAAGATGTTTCTGAGTTACATTTTTGATCGTCTTTTCTGCCAACAATAGCTAAATAAACAACACGTCCATTATAAATCAATCTTTAAATCCTGGTCCTTTCATTCCCTGTAATAATGCAGTGTATCTACGTCTATTCATGTACTTCAAATGAATAAACAGACAGTCTGGAAGGAGGCGATTTCTAATGCGTTAGAAATCTGGCGTTATTCTGATACATAAATTCTGAGAAGTTGGAATGTTACCGGCAGTAATTAAGTAATAGGCATAATATTGCAAGACATGCATTGTGTTATATTCCAAAGAAACAGTCTGCGCTGAAGGGCTCGGAAACTTTCCGGCAAAGTCTTTTCACGTAAGTCCAAGTCCTGCAAATGCCGACTCCATCAATCTTTTGCCGTCAAATACTAGCTAATGACGAACTTTCAAACAGAACTTGCATATTACTCATGGAAATTCTATCACTCAAATACCCATAGCTGTTCTTGTCATGGGGACCAAATTCTTCTGAACATCTGCTATTTTTGCTCGTGAGTTTTTGCCGAGTAAACTACAAGCAAAGATATAGGCAGTCTGTGCTGAAGTTATTATTATTATTCCACGAAGAGATTGTCGTGGCGTCTCGTTCAGATCGAACTTCGAGGGCACGTTACAAGCGGCTAAAAACGACACGAGAAGCGTTAATAATTATTGTTTATTTCGCGACGCAACAAAGGGAGGTTAAATGTCCGCTTCCACTATATTGTGAAATGACAAACGCACACTCGGAAATTAGGAGGCGCTTTTTAAGCAATTTATCAAAATCTTGAAGATCATGAACATGAGGCATAACATGATGCCAGGCACGGTCCAGCAACGATTAAGGCAAAAGATATTTTGAACGAGATGTAACTGTAGCGTTGCCAACTATTTTTTTTTACGAGTATATCAAATAGCCAGCTCAACATACCAGATTTTAGCAAATACATATACCAGATCAAAATTATCCACTCCAGACGCCATCTCAAAGTACCAAATTTGTGAAATCTGGTTTGGAAATATACCAGTTGGCTACGCTGCGTGACTGGCATGGCACGTGATACGAAAGGAACTGAAGTGAGGACGGCCCGAGACCGGACTGAACATGTGAATGCATTTGCCGGGAAACGGACCGAGACGTGCTTAAGACAGGCCCATTTTCCGGCAGCATGAATTGTGAACCCGGCCATATTGGACTGGAGAGAAGGTCGGGTCACCGATTACTTGGTTGGTGAGACGGTCGGGTCGCCGTATTACTTGGCTCGAGAGAAGGTCGGGTCACCGTATTACTTGACTAGAGAGAAGGTCGGGTCACCTTATTACTTGTCTAGAGAGAAGGTCGGGTCGCCGTATTACTTGACTATAGAGAAGGTCGGGTCACCGTATTACTTGGCTGGAGAGAAGGTCGGGTCGCCGTATTACTCTTGACTAGAGAGAAGGTCGGGTCACCGTATTACTTGGCTGGAGAGAAGGTCGGGTCGCCGTATTGCTTGACTAGAGAGAAGGTCGGGTCACCGTATTACTTGGCTAGAGAGAAGGTCGGGTCACCGTATTACTGGACTGGAGCCTATACATTCAAAAAAAGTTAAGAGATCGTACGTTCAGCAGCCAATCATTGACGGCCTTTCAAGCAAAATCCACCAATTATAGACAAGATAATAGAGCACAAGTACTTACGTTCACTTAGCGAGTTTTGAAAGTATGGCCCCAGGTCGGATCGCCGCTTTGTGGACTGAGAGGATGAACAAGCTCATATTTGTTTAAATAAAAGATATATTAATTGTTCGCTAAACGCCTCCTGTCCATCTTGGCACAGACTATCGGACTTGCCACGAAGTCAACATTGATGCTGATCCACAGGGGTACTAGACTTCGTCCACTTTGAATCTCTGGGTTTAAATCCTCTTATTTAAATAACGTCTTACATGTGCATTGCTATATGTAACCTTACACGATTTTGAGTAATAATTAGGTAAATTCTTGCGTGCCTGATATTATTATGTATGTCTACAAACGAGACGACTTGTCACGCAATGTCCCGGAGATCTGCCTAACCAAGCGTCAAGTGCAGCCTGAACCAGCTGTAACCACGCTGTAGTTGAGGATTAAGCAGCAAACGTGATTGAACTTGTAAATTATAGTAACCCAACAATGGCAGCAACAATGTGATGTAGGATTGAGGTGTAACAGTTGCTTACATTACAAAACCCAAAATTTACCTTACCTTGAATATTTCACTCTCGTGGTACTGTTTGGCGGAAAATTGGCGACTGTAGGAAAAAACATTAGTGTGAAGTTAGCGCCTCAGTAAAAGAGACCTATTTTAAGATTGCCGTGCGTCTAAGGTATCGACCGACCGCGACAGAAATCCCCCTTATCGAGATTTTTTGATAGTTAGTTCTTGGTACCAGGGTCGAACTTGAAGAAATATCGCCCAGTGAGCTTTCTTATTCCTAAGAATGCCCGCGATGAAGTAATGTTAACAGAATAGGTTGAGCAAGAAGCTTCTGAAAAAAAAATGTTAGAAATAAATACTCACTATAGCCGATCCCCCGCCTAAGATATATATTTGCGCCCAATAAATCAGGATGCGTGCCGCCCTACACGTGTCAAAAATATTCAGATGAGTATAAATTACCTCGTCCGCCTCCCAATATGTCGAGAGTAACTTGAATAAGAGTCCTAGTTGCCTCCATGTTAGCTGGCTGCTCGGCGGGGCTTAAAACAAATTTCGTGCGAGTGGTGATCTTACAGGGGAACTATTGATAGGCGTTTTTTGACTCGCAAAATGGTTTCTACCAAGGAAACCTAAATTAATGCATTGCAAATTAAAAGCAACTTAACTGGTCATAATTATTGCGAAAGAGATCCAGTGAGTTGTCGTTGCTATTTTGGACTCGCCGAAATATTGCGGGAAAACACGGATTGCATGACCGGTACTGGGATTGCATCGTCACGTGACACGTCAAATCGCCCGCGTCGAGCTTGACGGTAAATTCACCATTCTCGATGTCTGCAGGACGCGAAACGCAACGGTGAATAGCGACAACTGCATTTCTTGTGCGCTGCTTCCTGGTTGAAATTTTATTCATGAAATCTGCAGATAATTTTTACAGGCTTTAGAGTTTAGGTTGAACCTTCTTAGAGCCCGTAGGATGACATCAGTTATGCCTTCATTCAATTCATATCTCATTTTCTTTCCATTCCTGAAGTTTTCTATGCCAGATATTTGCGGATAAACTACTATATTTATAAATAAATGAAATTTTTCCGTTGCTTAGACGACTATTTAGATATTTGAACGCATCATATTCTAAATTAGAGACTATAATTATTAATTTTTTTCTTGAATTTGGATGTACGGGATTCTTGTGCAGCGACTTCAACTCTCAAGTGACAGCTCCCAATATGTGTTTCAATTTGTCAAAGATTATTGGAACATTTTTCCCCTTAATTTTTACCAAGTCCACTGTAGCTAACCTGTGAATGATACAGTAATTCTGCTGCTAGGTTTTTTAGTTGTACAGAGACAATGATAATGTTATATATAGTGGTAATTATTTCATCGTTAATCGACGTCTCCTCATTCCAGAAGGCATCAGCAGGACCAAGATCCATGCCGCCATTGCCAGCCTCACGACAGCCCTACAAGCCGTACCACCGTCACCACACCATCGTACCACATCACCACACCACCACAACACTTCACTTGGTGACACTCACATCACAACCAATCTGTACACTCAGCAATTTCAAACCCCAGACACCACGTCATCACACCACACCACCACACCACACCACACCACCCCACCACACCATGGCACCTCCCGCCAAATCGCAGACCAACAGACCGATCCTGAAAGCGGTCGAGGCTTCAGTCTGCTAAATCCCTTTGGTGAGTAAAATTTATTATTAATAATTTTAATTTATCTTTAGAAGTTATGATGTATTGTTTTTGTCTACGAACTAATAAAGTGCCGGAGAAAAACATGGGAAATTTAAAATGATTCAAGAAATTCATAATTAGAAGTTCATGCGCCACACCTGCGTACGGCCTTTGGCATGAGCCACACAAGGCCTTAGATGGTGTGATGGCATCACGTGGCGTGATGGCCTTATGTGGCATGATGGCCTCGTGTGGCATGATGGCCTCATGTGGCGTGATGTCTTCACAATGCGGTACAAATGCTTGTACGGTTCCTGTTCTTTATGAATTGCAATGAGAGAAACTGAGTGACATCAGTCATGGTGAGTCATGTTTTTACCTCATAATCTTATTTCCTGGCCTGGAAAACCATTCATTTAATCGACAAGTTTGTGACGCGTCTGACCTAAAAGGTTTCTCCACTTATTTCCGAACTAATCTTCCGAGGAAGGTAAACCATGACCTGCCTGTATAAATATTTGGGCGCTTCTAAGTATATTTATAAAGTTCTTCGCTTATGGCAGGGTAGCGTTTGTTACATTACATGGCATTACTAAGATGAGGAAAATTTGTATATGATCATCAATTTGTATCTTAATCATCCGTCAGTACCTTATTAAATGAAGTGTGTTCTAAGTGCATGTATGTATGCGAGTTATAAACTGTTAGCTTCTTATCCAGTATAATCAATAATTTCGTGGAACAACGGATGAGTGAAACGTGTCTACTCAGTGTCCACGATCAGGCCGTTTATATCGCGTTGCTTAGCAACAATTTAATGTATTGGATTTAAACAAGCTGATAGCTATCCTGAATATCAGTAACTTGTATTGCTGGGTATTGTTTTTTCCTCCCGTGCTGTCCACTTTCTTGAATACATCAAAATGGCGATTTTCTTGACCCAGATGGACTCATAACTCGAGGAGTAACACCGCTTACCGTGACGGCAGCAGATGTTTAAGAGTTTACAGGTCGTCTCTTAAGATACGCTTGATTGTAGAAGGCAATACGTGGAGCATGACGCAGTTTTATAGCAATACATCACGTGCGACATGTGGCTGAAGGAGATTGGTGGTAGGTGTGATAGGGAAAGGTTGTGTGTTGGTCGGACAAGAGGTAGGCCTCGGGCTTGGTTGGTTGTATAAGTGAATGAATAAAGTAGACAGAACTGTACTTAACTTGCTTCCTCTCATGACTTTCACTCGCCATCTCTGTTGTGTATTCATGCTAACGAAAAAGGCTTGGATTTTTGTCTGCCTAGCACTACAGGTCGAACGTCTACCAAGAGCCTTCAGGGCGCTGGAGGCGCGACCGAGTACTTCCGCGGTGCCCTGTGGGACGTAGAGAGAAGGGCCGCTAAGTTGCGTTAATGTACTCTCTTTTCCTAACAAGAGAAAAACAAACTTATTTTACGGGAGAATGTTTTCCTCGGTGCAAGTACAGGCGTGGCTCAGCAATGGCTTTAACGTATTGGCAGCTTTACTTGGTTTTCCTCTCCCATTTTGCAAGCAGTGGTCATTAGCTTGCAAAACAATCTAGCAGAAAAGAGCAGCGAGTGAGCTCGCGTGCGTTTATAATTGTTACGAAAAAGAGACTTCGGCAGGAAATGTTCTCTCTTCAGACCTCGTCAATGGTTCGGACCAGCGACCATTTCAGCGACTAAATAAATAATTTTCCGTTGTTAAAAATCACTTATTAGCTACGTATTGCGTGCTTTATTGCTTAGTATTGCCTGCTGCCGCTTAGTATTGCCTGCTGCTGCTTAGTATTGCCTGCTGCTGCTGCTTAGTATTGCCTGCTGCAGCATAGTATTGCCTGCTGCAGCTTAGTATAGCCTGCTGCAGCTTAGTATTACCGGCTGCAGCTTAGTATTGCCTGCTGCAGCTTAGTATTGCCTGCTGCAGCTTAGTATTGCCTGCTGCAGCTTAGTATTGCCTGCTGCAGCAGATGGCCTCACGCGTCACGCGTTACATCACGCACTGTCGCGTGCATGAGCGTCACGCGTGTCACGCACGAGGCTGTGATGAGTTCACGTGTCACGGTCAGAGTCGTTAGGTCTCATTACCTGCTGACCTCCTCTGCCACCGTCCAAACTGTACTGCAGTTTTTACTAGGTTAAGTTTAGGATGTGAAGTGTACGTAGAAAAACAGGGCCTAAAGTCCGCAGCATTCCGAGAGACAGACGAATCCTTATGAGAAAACGCAAGCGATTAAATAAACAAATAGCTGAATCCA